TTCAATAAACAAGAATGCTTCCAGTTTCTTGCATGAAATAATAACTCGATGTCCTGGATTGGAGTGAGTGGTAACGTTTTTGATAGCAGGGGGTGGCCTGCAGCAGTGGCCCCTTGTGAGAAGCTTCTTGAAGCTCACCCAGCTTTAAGTTGGACCCACCTCTGCACCAAGGCCGAGCCAGTCAGCTGCACCTCTGCGATAACATATTAAAGAAAGGGACATGGGAGGAGGAGTTGGCATTGTGAGGAGGAGTTGCAACATCTATGTGAATACTGGGGTCAGTGGAAGAACGGAGGAGGAAAGGAGGGGGAAATGCACCAGAGCAGCAACCCCACTGTATCTTGTGGTGAGACAGCAGGACTACCCCACCACCACCCACGGAGCTATACGTTGGAGCAGACACTGACATGTGGTCTGTGGAGGGGTCCAGGTGGACATTTAAGGTGACTCTACCCAAAGGAGGCAGGGATCCTGTGGGAAGAAGCAGCTCCTGCTGTTGTAGGTTGGTGCTGGGTAGACTGCAACATGCCAGAGCAGCTCAAGAAGGACTGTATCCTGTAGGAGGGACTCGAGTTGGAGAAGGTTGGTGTCCCATGCTGGAGCAGCTCAGGTAGTGCTGCAGCCCATGGCAGGGACTCGAGTTGGGGGTTTGTGGAGCACTGTCTCCTGTGAGAGGGGGACCACGCTAGACCAGGGGGAAGAAGTTCCAGAAGCTCCCCCCACCAAAGATGGAAGAAGCAGCAGCACTGACTGCACCCCCCATTCCCTGCCCCTGCGCCGCTGGGGGGAGGAGGTGGAGATGTCAGGAGCAGAGCTGAGCCCAGGAAGAAGGGAGGGGTGGGGGGGAAGCTGTTCTCAAGATGTGGTAAAGCTTTTCACTGTCCTACCCTGTCTGTTAAGTGTTGTTGTTACTGTCTGTATTAAATTTATATTATTTTTTTCTTGCACTAACAATCTTGTCCATGACCATATTGGGTGGTTGATCCCTCCCTGTCCTGTTTTGAATCCTGAGCCTTTGCTTATTTTCTCCTTCTCAGCACTGAGGGGAACGAGGGGAGTGAGCAGCTGTGTGATGCTCAGTTGCCCTCTGAGTTCAAACTATGACACTAGAACTCTTTCTTTTTTAAATACAGCTGTGACAAAAACTGTATCGTATTTTCATATTAAAAAGGGATGGTATGTAGGTTCCTCAACAGAGATGGGCAAATGAAACTGTGAATATAAAAGTTATGTCTTTTGAATGCTGCAGTTTGACTAAATCTGGGTCATATATTTGTGTGAACTTTGTAGCATAGTATGATTGTTGAATGTGTTCTGTAATTACGCCAAGAAAATTTTCAACAACTGAATTCAAGCAAAATATTGACTTGCTATCACATAACTCTTCTTAGCAGAATCTTGCAAAAGAACCCTCCCAACACATGGTTCCTGAAAAGGAAAAGAAGCACAAGGTAGCTTTAACCTTATTATTAATTAATTTTAGAATTTGGTAATATTTATATGTATGCAATCTAATTGGAGTTCCATGATAATTTATATACACTCGACAAAAGACATTGAAATGCTTTTAATTTAAACCTTTTTTCATTTTAGACAATACAAACTCATTTTTCTGAGACTTCTAAACCTCACTTAGATCTGGACTGTGAATCAATTAATGTGAAAAATAAAAAGTCTCCAAATGATATTCCTAAAAAAGTCATCATGATGGAAAAGAAAAAAATTACTCCTTCAGTATCTGCACGAAGTCCCTTGGGTAGTCCATCTTTAAAGGTTTGTAACTCATAGTAGTGATTTGTTCTTGTTTTATTTTTCTGACTGTATTTCTCATTTCTCTGTAGATGCTTACTTATTTTTCGTTGTGATAAGCAGGCATTTAAAAGGTAGATGGCCACAAAAAAATGTAATCCACAGCAATATTAGAAAGCAGTTTGTGTAAGGACTCCCACCATGTGTGGAGATTGACAACACGGACTCTGATGTTAAGATCGAAGACCCTTTATTATTCAGAAAGCTGCGGTTTTATCTTCCTGCAAAGTTGTCCATACCCTCAACATAAGTGCTTATTGGTTAACATACATTACTCACACACCTATTCTAACATTTGATTGGCTAGCTTAACTATGCATGTCTTTTTTCCCTTGTCACAATAACTTGCTTTTTTACTTTTTTTGCTCCGGGTGTTCTTCCAAAGTCCTCTGTTGCTCACTGATAACTTTCATATTTTTCTGTTATTCGGAAACCTTCAAGGTCTGTTGTAACCTTATTTTTCTGTTATTCAAAACCCTTATTTTTCTTGTATTCAGAAGCCTTCAAGGGCATCATGGCCTTCGTTGATGTAAAATGTCTCCACAACCATGTGTCATTTTTCTTGCTCGGTTACTTAATTTGTCTGTTACTACTGATCAGTAACAATTCCTGTCCTAAAGGGACTGTGAATTTAATAAAGTCTCTAGAATTCTTTTACGTAGTCTTAAAATAAAAGTGTTCTCTGTTTGTAAAACCACATTTTTCTCTATGGAACAGAAAATAGCTTCTGTAGCTGTAAAAATTATCAAAGTATTCCTGACTGCTTCATCATAACTGTAAAACTTTTGGTTTTACCCTGTCAGAAGCTCACACGTGATGTTTTCTCTTACTAATAGGAACAACTACAATTTTTATGTTATCCTTTCTGCAATGTTTCTGAGTTTAACTTCTAGTGAAGGAACTATTTAAGTAAAAACAGTCTTGTTCTTGATACCACTATCCACGTCTTTCTGAAAGCTTTTTCCTACAGTTTTGTTTGTTTGCGTTTTCTTAAATGATGGCTATAGTCTGTATGTAGTGACAACAGTTCAGAATAACCTGAATTTCTGCAGATAAGCATGAAGAAGTTATAGTGTTCTATAAAACTCAGTTCTTCCAGAGCTTCCTGTTCATTCTCTTTGTTTGGCAACAAAAAAAAAAATTTTTTTTTTTTCTTTGTTTGGGTCTTTGCTTCACAGTTTGTATGGAAAGATAACTCTTCCACAGCATCTCTCTAGTGTCTTCCTGGATACTCAGTCTGTAAAATGGGTTATGAGTTCAGTTTTAGATTCTACAATTACCACTGAAAATACAATTATAAATGCCATCCTTTTTTTTCCCAGACATATATTATAAAGACTCCTCCAATACATAAACTTCAAAGGGAAAGCACGCATCTGCATTCAGAACAGTGCATGAGGAAAAAGCAAAAAGTGCTTCTACAGCTGGATGCTCAGTCAGATAGTTCTGAACACAGTGACCTCCTGGTAAAATTAGAGAACCAATACTGTACTTAACAGTTGTTTTTGCACACTGCAAAGTGTAAGAATGTTTATAAAGCATGTGGGGTTCTGTATCCAAGACAATATTTATGTGTATCTTTCTATTTCACTGGTTCTTTCTGGAATTGTATTTATATGTACATAATTAGTAACTATATGACAAACAGAATACTGCTATACAAAAATATATATTAACTTTTATAATGATTTTTTACATTGTTTCTGTTGAAGTGTTGGGGCTTCAGAGTAACATCTTAACTTTTATTTTTCCATGCTCTAATACTCCTAGTGGGAAAGAATATACGGTGTGATTTTAATACAGTGTGATTAAATAACTTTTTTTATTTTTAATTTAAGAGCATTGTCTCAGAGGAAGAAATGTTTAAAAAACTATACAAAGATTATCCTCAAGCTTCACAATTATGTGCCGTGACACCAAAAAAGGTACCTTAGCTTTTCTTCAGATTAAATCAAACAGTTAATCAAATTCATTACAGAAACAAATTAATGGATGGGTTTATTTTTCTTCTTAGGAACCAACTACATCAAAGGTGAATACCCCGGGCTCTCTACTGAAACTTACAACCATGAGAAAAATGCGTGAGGCTGGATGGACTGCAGTTTCTAAAATGGACAGGAAAAGAAAAATTAAAGAAGCTGAAAAGCTCTTTACTTAAAATGAAAAAACGACTAATGCCCTAGCATTGTTTGATTAGTACAACCACCAGTATTGTTGTTCTTTCAGAGTTAGTACATTGGTGCATTTTTCTGTCACACTCAGTATGTCTAATACTATATTAATTTCCTTTACACACGTAGATACATAAGTATATCCACCTGCAGAGCATTATCTACATTTCATCACCTATGCTATAAAAAGTCAGGAGACAAATTAGCCCATTTAAAAATTTTTAAATAAGTAAACTACATAGAAGTCTGTTTAAAAAAGAAAAAAAAAAAAAGTCTGGCATTAGAAATACTGGTTTTCAAGAAATTCAGTTTGATTCTTTTAAATTTACTGTCTTAATACATAATTCACAAAAGGATATTATTTAGTGAAAGAAATACTGAAGCTGTTAAAATGCATACACTTTTACCTGAAGTCATCTTGCTTTTTCATTAATTTAAGATGTTATTAGAACTGTCTTTTTAGACTATTTTCAGTAGCTACTACTTCAGTATGTTAAAACAGTTTTGAAACTTATAAAGTTGAATTTTCAGTAGAATTACTTAAGTTCAAAAAGATTTCAGCTTCGTAAAAAATAAAATATGTCCACATGTTTTAAGGTTGTAAAACCAATGTTAAGATGCCATTAAATTGTTTATCTGAAATATTAAGTGTGGGATCAAATGTTGTTGATTTATGTATTAGGACACAAATATATACCACCAGGCAGCCTCCTAAGGACAGCTTCAGCCATAAGTGTAAGAATAGTTTTATTTAATCCTTGATTAATGTTTGTTTCACAACAAGAAGAAAAACCTGCTTCAAAGACTAGTAGTTTGGGTTCCTTATGCCTTCCTTGTCTGTTGAGCAGTGATACTAATACTTATTTTTTTAATTGTATGTAACTGACAAATATTCTTCAGAGATGTGAAAGAATATTCTGGGTTTTTTCCCTTCCATATTTGGAAATGCAATTTCTTATGCAAGGAAATTTTCTGAGAAGCTAGAATTACTTTTCTTGCTGGAAGGTTATTTCATATGTTTGCAGAATATTGAATTTTTAGAATATACCTGCTTAAGTAGTGTACGTTAGACCAAATGCAGATCAGAGTAGCTGCTTATAATGGACAGATTCCAGATGTCTGTTCTTTCCAAGAAAGATTATTTTACCATAAGTAGTGTAAAATAATCCATTTAAACCTTTTCCAGATACATCAGTTATTATTTTTTTGACTGGATATAGAGAATGCCATGCAAAGTCAGATATTTTTCATTTGGGATGTTACTAACATCTCTTCAGCTGCTTTGTAGGAAAAAGAAAATACGGTCACCAGAAACGCAATATGTATGTGTAGTTTGTAATTTATTTTAATAGGGTGTGGTGTTTTATACAAGATCTAAATACTTGCCAATGTTTGTTACTTCATTTCAAGATGGCATATTTCTAATTTTGACTGTTCCTGTTGTTGACATCTTCAACAGATATGCAGAATTGACTCCTAAGCTAGTTACCGAGCATTCAAAAATAAAAATTTCAGTTGTCTCTGAGTTTCTGAGAATGAGACTTCTACTGTCTTGTCTTCTCAGCTATGCCTCACGTATAGATGCATGAACTATAATTTTGCAATCTTAAAGTTAAGATTCAAAATCCACATCAAGCCTAACTTACCCACATTCACGGCTTTGCTAATTGTAGAATATGTGATATTTGAATGCCTTCATATCAAAAATAGGATTTAAATTATCATTGAGACTTTACATGAAAAATAAATGTTCTTTTTATCTACCGAACATCATTTCCAGTATAGTGGTATAAGTACATAATCTGGCAACGTAGGAAAAGGGAATTACAAGAAACTTTAGCAGTAAGAATTAGAAATGCTAGCTAACGGTTGTAAGAGTTTCTGCATATCACTGTGAGTCTTGTGGTAATTAAAATGTCTTTAAGTTGGAGAAAAGTCTTTCCACTTGAACAGGTAAAAATTCAAGGCTGTACTGCCCGCATCTAGACACAAACGGTAAGTAATCACTTGGAACCTCCTTATTTTCCAGTACTGTTGTGGCAGGGTTGTGAATCCATGGTGCATCATACAGTCCTTCTGATATCATGAGGAGTGTGTCAGGTGGTATATTTTACAAATTATCTGCAAAACTACAAAAATCCTGTTAGCACCATTGTAGAAAGCTTACAGGAAAGGTAATCAACTAGGAAGGATGCAAAATCGTGTTTGCCTCGTCCTATGCCTGTTTCTGTGAATGGACTATACTTAGTAAAACTGAAAATAAACAACTTTGTTAGGCACTAATCCAGTTTGCATAGGAAAAGCAAATGAAAATTAATAAATGCATGTGCTTTGGCTAGTCAGTCCTTCAGGTAGTACACACTCCAGAAAAGTAAAAATTGAAAGCTACCTGCTAGCACATATTCATAGTAGTAAATATTGATGCTTTTATCTGTGGAATTTTATTAAAGCTTTAAAGGCTGTATTGTGACATTAGCCACTATATTAGTTACTGGCTAGTCCCATTTACTACAAGTAAAGTTACATGTATATATATACATACACGTAAGTATTTTTATATATATGCTTTATTTAAAAATATCAGCAAGATAAGCTTATTTCTAAATGCCTTTTTCAAAAGGTTTTAAAATATATATTAACCTGTGCCAATAAATGTAGTTAACAACTTACCAATTAAACAGAATATTTCCTTTTTTTCAATGGTATTTCCAGTAAAATACATGTACATGATACATTTGTGGTGTTTCTTTTTACTCTGGGTCTTTACTAATCAGTTTTAAGGAGAATGTGGCCTTCAGTGTCTGAGGTATAATATGTCTTCTGACCAAGAACTGATAATGACAGTGCAGATACTGATTTATTACTCCTTTCGATGGAGCAGCTGAGGACCTGCAGCTTCCAACAGGAAGTTTGTCAATATCAGGTTATCTAAACTTAAAGCAAGCATTTGGAAATGTTGGTATATATTATTACTTACCTTCATAATACTGCTAACACAGTTCTCCAGTTCCCTTTTTATCAAATACTTCTTCAAGGAGGGTGAGCAACACTCTGGCCTGCCACGTCTGCTTTCTTTCTTCCTGTCTTCCTTTTTTACCATGCGTGCACTTCTGTATTTCTCTAGCACTTTAAATACTTTTTTCCCTTTTATTTTAAAAGGCAGATGGCTGCCACTTTCCTGCTCTCACCTTTTCAACTTCCCTCTTCACAGAATGGTACGTCCTAGTCCTTCAGACTTTTATACCATCATCAAGTTCTTGATACAGCTCTTCATCTGTACTGTGGCTTCAGCTAAGATAAACAGGTCTGGCCCCAGCAGTTCAAGAAAATGCTGCTCTCCTGTGTAGTAATGCCTACCTGGAGCCTGGGCTGTATGATTGAGTCAGAGCTTCAAGGATGTTTACTCGTACGGTTGTGAAAAGCTGAATGTTCGGTATCAGCATTTCTGATGTTGCTTGACTCCCAACGCTTTTTAAATGGTAAAAATGTAGGTGGTGACGACTTGAGCCGTGTGATATCTGAAGACTTCTTACTGTGGTGAATGGTGTTATATGCAACATGTGCCAGATGTACCTCTGCTTTAATAACCACATCACTGCTTCTATACATTCTGATCCTTTTTGTATTCCAGCTGATAGCTGCATTTTGCACTTTGGTTTGATTGACTAGTTGAAGTACTGGATGCTATAAAAGTTACTGCTGTTGTTTTTCCAGATCCACTCTGTCTTTGTATGGGCTCTTTTATAAAGCCTATATAATCTTTGGCCTGAACAAAGTACTTTGCCATAAGGTAGTAACAAGTGAAAAGGATTGGAAAATGTGTAGGTTGAATTCCATTAATTGTATTGTCTCAGTTTTCTTGTTCAGCAGTGGGTTTATTTGTCTCAGTTTAATCTGCTCTTTCCTCTTTTTCTGAATTGCCTTGAGAACAAATAATAGTTTTCCTCGAATCTACTTACTGGATAACTGAGTAGTTCTGGGTCTACAGATCGTAAAATGTATGTATTAAAAAAAGTCTATTTAATTTAAATACTTATCTTGACCACATGCTTCATGCCTGATCTCAAATTTCTGGTCCAGATACTTGCTGAAAAAAATACAGAGATTTTTTTCCTTTTTTTTATTATAACTAATGACTGTAGTGCACCTGTTTGTTACGACAGCCTAAAACAAAAGCAGAAGAAAAGCCTAAAAAGTTTAACTGAAAAGTCAGTTCAAAGTCTGAGAAGACAAATAATGAGCATTTACTTATTCTAATGCTTGTCTTGGATCTCTCATAAAATATTCAGATATCTAGTCGGTATCATTTGTCCATCATGGCTTTATTAAGCACAGGAAATTTAAAAATTCTTAGCGTACTAATTCATTAGTACAGAGTGTTGGTGTTTAGTCAAAAGTTGAATTTTTAAAATTAATGTTCCAGCCTCTCTTATTACCCAGTACTTATATTTAACTTCTGTACTGGATAATACTGCGAGATTCAGCAAGAGACTCGTACCTTTTGATAGCACTGTACAAAGAAAGGCCTTCCCCCAGCAAGTGATCCAAAAATGTATCTCTCTAATCCGTTTTCTTTGTTGTTAAATGCACAGCATATTGTAGCAACAGTGATTTTTATTATGTACTGTGTCATGAAATGGAATACTCTGTAATTGTGACAGAACATGATAGAACATTACAAGTATTTCAAATCAGACCACAAGGTTATTTTGACAACTTGAGAACACCCCCATTTTGTACCTTAAGAAAGAAGACTGTAACCAGTGCAAGACCTTGAAGATACAGTACAGGGTTAGCATATACAAGCACTTCCAGGTACATTGCAGTTGTCACTCGGCACTACTGATAGTTATTTACAAATGGGATTGAAAATTTTGTTTTGCTTAAAAGCTGCAAGAACAGAGACTGCAAAATAGAATGTGGAAAATAAGAACAAATCTTAAGCAAATCACCCTGTCAGGACTCACCTAAGCTGACAAATAGAGGAGTCCGTGGACTCGCAGGTGGCACTGAGTAACAGACCCGATGTCTGAGCGTGTGCCTGTTGGTTCAGGCTCCCCGGAACCCCCCCTGAAGGGCTGGGTGAAAGAAACAACAGAAGTTGCTCTGGGCTTAGAGATTAGTCAGTATATCCACAGGAGTGCTGACCTCACCTAATTGAAACTAACTGGCTAATATGAGAGGACAGGGAATGTTGTATGTTGACAGTTGCTGATCTTACTTCACAGTGGCTTTAAAAAGTAGCGTTTTCAGAATTGGACACTGCACTGGAAGAACCACTTTAAACAGTTTTCCCCAAGCATACGTAAAGAAGATGATAGTAAAATCTTGATTAAAAAGATATGTTTAAAAAAAATCCTCAGGTATGTGTGATAGTTATTATAAAGGACAACTATTTCTAAAACTAATATCAATCCTTTAAATTTCTAAACTAAAGGGGTACAAAAAAAAATTTGCTACAGAAGTTAAATGTCTCTAATAAGGTAAAAACCAGTGCAAGTAACAGTATTATTCCTACAACCTTTTCTTGTCCCTAGGTATGAAAGTTTTTAATTCAGTTTGCCTTGCTTCTACCAGGAGTATCCTGAGGGGGGGAAGAGTTCATGAGGAAAAACAGTCTTCCCTTTTCCTTCCTTACAGCCATTTTAATTTTTAGTTGGAGTCTGAGTGGCTTCCTCAGTGGGAGGCATTCACTTTGGCAGGTTTCACAGTCGGTCATAGCTGTGGTAGGCACTTCTTTTTCCGGTCAGCATGTGGGATTGCCTAAGAGAGGAATGCGTGTTGGGAAAGCGCAGCATCTGACAGGACTGCATGCCCAAAGCCTAAAAGGAGAGACATAAACATGCCGCAGTGTTTTTACTGAGCATACATAACTAGCTTACATTCTGATCTAAAAAAAGTCAATTGTACATGCATAGTGTCAAGTCTCCATAACAGATCTTCATCAGTGGAGATTTTGTCTGATTATCTACTGACTGCTTATCAGATTGCCACTCAAATCAGGAGACCACTACAACCCTTAGAAACTGAAAAGTGTCTGTGACTTTTACCCCTTGGCATTGTTATGATATTGGGCAGGTATAGTCATTCAACCTTGATGATATTGCAGAAGGCTTCCGGCTTGTGTTTGTTGTTGTTGTTTGTTTTAAATTTTGTCCTCAGTCCTCAGCAATTGTATATCTTAGAATGACAGAAATACCTAGCACTTTCCAAAGAAATGAAACCAAATACCAAGTGGTCTATTGTATGAGCCAAAGAGCAAATAGGATTATGAAGTATTTTCAGACCATAAATGGAGATCGTTGGCATATGATACACAACAAAGAGAACTGCTGTTTTAATCTGTGGTTGATGGGAAATGCTGCAGCTAATCCTAGGCAAGAAAGAGAAGAGCGGTAATCTGTGAATCTATCAATTTAAGAGATGAGAGCTATGTTTCAAGCTATTACAGAGAGACTGGCAATAGACAGATTAGCTTTGAAAATTCAGCAGCCACAGTCTGTTTAAATGCAAAACCTGGCAAACCCACTTGTTTCTATGGCAACATACTAGGATCTTATTTCCTTTTAGCAGCAGAGGTCTGCAGCAGGATCGTGTTGGAAATAATTCCTCTACCCGAATACTAATCTGCTAGAAATCTGATTGGCTTTGTCTGCTTTTCAACAGCATAGCTTCTAACTCTCTGTTGTTTACAAGCATGGACATGTTTTTATTTTAATATCCACAGTGCAGTGGATATTAAATATAGAATATATATGCAGTGGAAACAAGAGTTACTTTGCTCTACAAGTTAACCTGCTCATAAGATCACAAAGTTTTCATTGTGTTGTACTAACAGGGGAAGAATGAATAGGCATAAAGTGTGATAACTTCTCATTGTTCCTACTTTTATCTTAGGCATTGGTTGGTGACAGAGAATCCTATTAAATTACTTTTACATAAAAGCTTCTGGTATGCACTGAATTTCTATAGCCCATTACAGAGATTCCTGGGTAATGAACCCAATAATTTTATGATTACTCAATTCTGTTTACAGAGATCACTTAAAATACTTCTTGTAGAACATCAGCATACTGTCTCTCATATAATGAAAGTGTAAAATAACTGATGTCAGTGAATGAATTGGTTTAGTTAACAGAAAGGTTAAAGATAAATAATTAACAGTGTAACGGGCTGTTCCAGAACAGGGTTACAAAGCTGATGGCTGTAAAAGCACATTAAAAATTTCTATCACTGAATAGTCTGCAGGTCAGCATTGGGGCAGCCAAAGAAATGGATCCATAAGCATCTGACTTTTAACTATGGATTAGGAAACTGTAAGAAAGAAGCCTCAGGCACTCACAGATTGCCACACTAGACTTTGTTGTCCCTCCAGAGTCTTGTCGTGCTGTTCCCAGTAAGTAGTAGGATCTCACTTCCATCAGGTGTCCAGAGAGGTCAGTAGTGAATGAGCTGTACGGTCATATCCAGAAGGACAATCGAGGAAAAGTTTTACTACCAGCCTAATGGCTTGTGAAAATTGCTGAAGAGACGTGGCGTGCGTATCACTACAGTGGTTTAGCGCATCTCTGAAATAAGGGCAGGCTAATGTGATGCCAGCAAAGAAGAGGTAGTAGCCAAGATGTTCTGTGTCCATATATCAGTGTGGAGCTAACAAGCATGAGGAGCAGTAGTCACATTAGTCTCAAGGTCCACTCAGAGTAATTTATTGTGCTTCCAGATAAATCAATTTTCATTCTTAATACATGGTCAAGTATTTCTGTAATGCACTGGAGTGCATTCAGAAGCTGGGTAAAAAAGTTACAGTGAATAAATGCACAGCTGAAATTATGCTGCCTGCTCCAGTGATTAATAATTCCTGACATTCAGCATATACCATGTTGGACTCTGCCTAATCGCTCTAAATCTTCATGACTGTAGGGCTCTGGACAGATGGAACTAAGGACATTTCACCTATGTAGTTGCCTTAACAACCAAATTTGTAATCGCCTCAAAGAATGAAATCAGGTTTGTGTGGCATGACCTATTTTATGTAACACCATCTTGACAGGCATTAGTTATGTTCTCATCCGTTAATTCTTGATTGCTCAAATCCTGTATCAACTTTCTGTTATTTTACCCGATTTATCAGGAATAGATGTCAGGCTAGCTGTTTGAGTTACCTGGGTCAACATTCTCTCTTTAAATATTGGCATAATATTAGCACTTTTCTTAATGTTTTGAAATCTTCTCAGTATTCTGAGAGTTATTGAAATTACTGTTAGCTAATGATGTTGATTTTGAAATTCATTATGTAATTTATTTAATAATTTTTGTTGCAAATGTGTATGTTGGTTGTTCAGCCACTACATTTTCAAATGCACATGTACATACTGAAGACTTTGCACTTACTCTGCATCAACAAATTGCCTTCATCTACTAATGTCCCTTGACAATACTGTTGGTCTCTGTCTTGACAGAAGTTTATTTCCTAGTCTTCAGTTTCCAATGCAAGTTTTCTGCATTTTCTCACTTCTAAAAGTGATTGTTGCTTGTTTTCCTTTTTTTTTTTTTTTTTTAATTACTGTAGTTCTTATTGCTGCATTCTCTTTTTCATCTTCACTATGACTGACTTTAAAGGATTGTTGCAATTTTTTTTCTTAGCTATTGATGTTTGCAGACATTTCTCTAAATCTTGTTAAAAGCAAATTCTTAATCCTTTTTTACCCTAATCTGAATTTCCTCCCCCGCCCCCCATTACACCCTTTTTTTCTCAAATCAGAGAAATTAACACTTTGAAGCAGCAAAGGATATATGCCTTCATACTCTGATCTGTCCTCTGCCTATATTCTAATAGGATATGTTGAGGGCACTTTAAACCTGGATGTAGGGGTCTTACTGTCAGGACCTGTATATACAAATATAGCTCAAATTGCCTAAAGCTATGCTTGTAAATCACTGTGAAATCTTTAGAGAAAATAATCAGCTGTACCTACTTCAGCTATGCATGCAAAGGGTCCCATGGGACATCCTTGATTTAGGAATACTAATTTTTTACTCTCATTTTGCACACCTTTTGTCCTCTCCAAGATTTAGTTTTTATGAATTGTTTCCTTTTCCTTTCAGGATTCTTGTCTCCTTTGAATTACCCTGAAGAGTTTCCAAGAACAAACATTCTTTTCTGTGATTAAAGTTTTAAACAACCTTTTAAACATATATATGTAGTGTATGTGTGTTTGTGTATGTATATATATATATATAGTGTGTGTATATATACATACACATTATCTACATGTGGGTGTATCTATGTGTATACTCATATAGCCCATATGTTTAACTGCATTTAAAGTATGTCAGAAAAATACAGTTAAATAATGTATTGGAGTAGTAGCAAAATAACAGTGTTATACTTCTGTTGCTAAGTGTCGATGGACAGATGTTACTGAGAGTACAATTAATACTCTGCTCATGTCCTTAAGCCTGAAAGAGTTATATTTAATTCCTGAGAAGTTATATGGTAGAAATTAACCCAGAACTAAAGACTCTATGAAAACAGAAGGCATTTGACTAGTCTTAATAGAACAATAACTCCATCATGTTATCAAAAAAAAACCCCTCGGAGAATTAGCCTAGGACACAAAGCTGTGTGCATCAGTCTGAAACCACAGGAAAGGGAGACAATATTATTCAGGAATTTGCAAAACACCTGTTGGGACTGACTGGATCACTCCTCCAACAGCCCAAAGTGGACATGTTTACCAGCTCAGACTCAATTTTATCATATTTCTTATGGCTATGTAAATCAAGAATATGGTCGACCTGCATAAGACATACATCATATCAAGGTCCAAATGGCAGTTAGGTGATGAGCTGAAAGGGTAGGTGCTAGCAGAGCTGCAGAGCATAGTGAGAAGGATGGCCGGATACTAATGCAGTAGAGGGCAGGGGGTTTGTCTACCCCTTCTTACTTTTTGTACCTCCCAGGTGTTCCACAAAGCCCTGAACACAAGTGGTTTTCCCCCACCTGTGGACATTGCAGTTTAACTGGTGCCGGTGCACTATTTTGCTTCTCATTGTGCTACAAGGAGTGGTTTCTTAAAAGTTTTTCCCCCATCGGTTTGTATTTCAGAGTAAATCGCTTGTTACTTCAATATTTGCTCAGTAGGTTCAAGGCCAGATAGTTTCTCAGTGTGTTTCGTTTGAGTAGGTAAGTCAGGCTGTACCTAACCACACTACAGAGCACCACACTATAGAGCAATTGCTCTGATTTGAGATTTGTTACTTGGTGTGTATAGCACTGCATCTCTCAGTTGTGCCTGCCTGGTGACAAGCAAAGGGAGTGAACCAAACTTCATTAAGCTTCCACAAAACATGGGTGTAGAATTAGTCATATGTGCTTCAGGATGACTCAATTTCCATGCTGGCCTTCCTGTCATGATGTTTCTGTCCTATGTAGTGATTAAATTAATCAATAATAACTTTTTAAAAACAGTGGTTAGTTTAAAAGCCTGAGGAGAGAATGACTGTTAAAATAATTAGATTTCCAGCTCTAATTTCCAGGTTAGGATATTATGGACATGTTTGTTCCTATCACATTTGCTTTGTGGTTCAGTATGAATTTTCAATAGATGACTTTGCGATAAGAAAGCAGCAATTCAGATGCAATTATATAAACAGTAAGATCAGCCTGGAATTAGCCTGGAGAGTATAAAGCACACACAGAGCTTGTGCTGGGTCACTGCCTCTCCAAGCTCAAGGCAGAATCAGGTTCCTGTAATAGGGAAGAATTCAGCTGGCAAGAGGTTGGGCTTTCCAGACTTGCACTGTTGCAGCTACAGGGTAAAGCAGACTGTGTAATGAATGGCTTTTTGCTGTGGGAAACTGACAGCTGGAAGAGACTAGAGGGTGGTGGCCATTTGTTTGTAGACACTGTCATTTAAAGTTTGTAGTTTAGAGGCTATAGAGTAGACCCTGGAATTGTCTCGTAACTAATCAAAGCTTTGTTCTCAGGATACCCCAGCAGGTCTGAGAAATGAGATCAGCATAACAGACAAAGTGAGGATTCGTTGATTTGAACTCTTTGCTGATGTTCTTTATTGTGATTTGCTTGAATCTGTTATTTAATTCTTGGCAGTGTTCCCATTTCATTATGTCTCTAAGCCAACTGGAAAGTAAAAAATACAGTGGTATGACTGATATGCACTGCTGTTTCTTTTTCTCTCTTGAAGATTTTAGGAGATGCTTTCTTTAGAAAATTATTTTTAAACCACTGAGATTATTTTAGCGTCTCTGTTTAATGCTAGAGCTCATGTTCTGTCACATATGTTACATTTTGAAATCCTTTAGCTCCTGTTATTTGTGTGTGTCAGCATTTTATCACTCATTAGTAAAACATTCCATGTAATAAGTTTTAGTGGGGAGAAAGAGAAATTGTTATATGCTGTTAATGGCCTGTTTACCCTTCTTTTCTGTTTAGTGGTTAGTACTATTTCAGTTAAAGGTTTGATATTGGAAAGACGTTGTTAGGCTTTAGCTAGAAAAGTTAAGATTACTTCTAGTCCATGACTATCGTAACTGTTCTTGTCAAATTTGGAGAAGAGGGTTGGAAGGTACATCTAATTTTACCTACAGTTTGTGTGTTTGTTTTTCCCCCATCTAGCATGAGTCCCTTCTTTGTGATGTCTCTCCTCTTTGGTCTGACTTTTGGTCAAACAGCATCACTCTGTGCTCCTTCTGAGTATATAATCCATGTGGAGAAAAGGGAATGTGCCTACTGCTTGGCCATCAACACCACCATCTGCGCTGGATTTTGCATGACTCGGGTACAAGGCATTACTCTGTTTTAGGCAGCTGTTTCTATCATGGCCATCACTGCAAAAGAAGTGCCTGTTCTCACTGGAAAATTGTGTGTAAATTATCCAATTCTAATAGTGTTTGTCACAGACAGAAAAATCACACTATCATCGTGTTTTCAAGTTGGCTTTTTACAAAGGTATGGTTGAGAAATGCCAAGCCTCTGGAACTAGAGAGCTTATAACATCAGTGGCATAGCAGAGAACTGACTGCTGCTGTCACTGAAGAGCCTCTGTAGTCTGTGGGGTCAAGACAGAACAGGTGAGAAAGAGATTGGATTTAGTCACTCTTATTTAATGTAAATGACTTAGGTAATGTCTACTGCCACTACTGTTATGACAGCTAGCTGAAGAGAATATCTCACAAGTAGGCATCCCAAACACTATGCTTGAGCTTTACCGTTTAACGTAGCATTTTAAGTTCCACCTTGGTCAGCAGATAGCCAATGCAGATTACAAAGTACTGTTACCACTCGGAGCCAAGCAGATTAGTTAAAACCATGTAAGCAAGGAGAACATATTTATAGGGGCAGAGCGCCCCAATCACGTGCAGTTTCAAAATTACAGATCCGAACAGAAGTACGCTGAAAATATCAGAGCTAGTCTAAGTGTAAAGAGATTTGCTTTCTGCACATATTAGAAAATGTCAGAAGAAGCCTTCTGACACTCATGTATGCTTCAGTGAAACAATGCATTTCTTTTTTCTTTGTAGGACAGCAATGGCAAGAAGCTGCTACTCAAAAGTGCTCTGTCTCAGAACGTGTGCACGTATAAAGAGATGTTGTATCAAACAGCACTGATTCCGGGCTGTCCTCATCACACCATCCCTTATTATTCCTACCCTGTAGCTGTGAGCTGCAAGTGTGGTAAATGTAACACTGATTATAGTGACTGTGTTCATGAGAAGGTTAGGACAAACTATTGCACTAAACCACAGAAGCTCTGTAATATGTAAGCTTCCAACAGAATGTGGTTGAAATGTACCTCTCTGCTCACAACTAAACAAAAATAAAAGTGTATTTCATAACAGGTTTGCAAATTGTTGTGCACAAAGTTTTATTCTAAAAATGTATCACTAGGTACTTCCGTTAACTGGATATGCTGTGACATGCACAAAAGCAGAATCATAGGACTTCAGGTTTGATATTTAGGACCCACCTATAATTTACTTTGGGGAAGAAGGAGAAATAACTGTGTGTATGTATAAGCTTTTGCTCATAAATCCCATGTGTTTTGGGAAGAGATGCTCAGAGACAAAACATCTGATATATTTCAGAGTTAAAAAAGGCAACACATACTTTTAATATTGAACATTTTAATTAGATTTAGATTTTTACATATACTTACAGTCTTCTTCAAATTAGCAACACAATTTTTCCATATAAGTAATAATAGTTTTTTGGAGGACCCTAGCTTCAAGTGTAGTCAAGAGGGACTAAACACATACAGTTTGCTTATCTACACTGTAGATCTAGGTCATCACCTCTGTTGTCTCAACCTGTGTTCATTAGGCATACTTTTTCATCTCTCTGCACTAGTGGAGCGAGCCTCTCTTTTATTGAAGTACATTGTTTGAAAAACTTGTCTCTCTGAGCACTGAAGAATCAGTGAAGCCTCAAATCTTGCTACTCTGTTCTCCAGAAGGGAATTATAATACCATCAAACTTAAAGTGAAACTCAGAAAAAACTCTTTTTCCCCACACAGGTCAGCTGGTCCCTCCTGAGTGGGAAAGTGAGCTGAGCCCCACCCTATGTGCTGAACATGCACAGGTGAGAAGTGCAGGAATTAAGAAATAAATGTAAACTAACAAATGGTTCCTTTCCACTGAGATTCCCCCCCCTCCCCAAGAGTGCTGTTGTTTCATTAGACCTGATGACTCTGTGCCAAGCTCTAATTGCACTAAACCAATCATTAAGAATGAGAGCGAGTTTCCACCTGGTTTAAGTGACTCTAAAACAAAGTGGAAGAGCTTACAGAATCCAGTGCCAGAATTGTAACTTTGTCCCTCACCCCTATCACCTACAATAGGAGTGATGAAATCACAATTTGATTATATTGTCCCTGCTCAAGTAAACGTGACCTCTGCTGATCCAGGAATACTGTAGACAGGACAGAAAGACTACATTGAAAGCATGAACAGGGCTGACAAAACTCTTCCATGTGTTATTTGCAAGGTACTGTGACCCTGAAATGAAGCAGAAAGTAACTTAATGCCTTACATTTTCTCCTGAAAATCCAGTTCTTGCTCTTCCTCATCCCTCATTAAGGATGAAGCTGGAATATTTGATATTCTTGCAACCATCTGTAGCAGTATCTCCATTCACTCATGCAATCTCTTATGAAAATTAGCAGTTACTAACCTGTACCTCATAGAGGTTAGGTACTAGCACTGAAAACATCAATGGCTTGCTCTCCACCCCTTCTCATCTCAAGAATTCTCTCTGCCCCTCCACCCTCCCTTCCAGGATCCATGTGCTATGTACAAAAAATAACCTACGTTGAATATAGCCCTCAAGCAATCAAAGGTACAACCTGAAACAATACCAACTGTCACAACACTTAAAGCCTTAAAGTTTTGCATAGAAGTGTAGAAGTTAATTTTTAGCAGAAACAGCAAATAATATTTAGAAATAGATACTTGAACCAGATACTTTGTGAGGATGATAAATAGTCAATTGCCCACTCCTCTAACTAACTGAATTTTCAACATCTCCATGGGAAAGTTGATAATGACCTGGCACGTTCCAGAACCAATGTCCTGCTAACATCTCTTTACATAGAATAAGCCCTTTCTAAGATAGGAGACAAAGATTATGAAGTGGTAATATTATTCTTCTTTTGCAGCAGGAATCATACAGACAAAATAGTTTGCCATGCTTGTCACATGTAACCTTATGCCCATGTACAGGAGCAAATCTAAACAGTAATTTCAGCCTACTGATACATTCACTACCCGACTCTAATCCTACACTGTACTGTATCAGTTAACAACCATGGCAGCACCTGTTTGTGCCACTATCATCTATTAAACAGGTTAATTAAGCCCAACTCCATTCAAAGCACAAGATAGAAATAAATCAGTCTGGAAACATCTTTACTGATCAACAAGATGAGTTTTTATTCTGATCACCAAAGCTTACTCAGATTGAAGTGCAAAGCACATAGTGACAGAAAAGAAATTGTCAGTATGTGGCAGTTAGATTCCTAGTTAATACTGCATACTCTGTTGTAAACTCATTACTACTCATTTTTATAAAATTCCACTAAATTCAGTTTTTAGATTAAATATTACATTCAGAAAGGCCATTAAGGTGAATCAAAGTACTTAATTTAATCAGGCTGAAAATCAAAACTCTGACATATACAAAACACGAATGACCCAGAATATCATAAATGTTCCCATCCATGGCAAAGAAATGTCTAAAATAGTAATCTCCTGTCATCGTGACTCCATTCTCATGAGTTACTAGGGTAAAATTAACTGTGACACCTAAACATACTACTGAGATGTAAGGCATATTATTTTCTGTTTATGCAAATTTATGTTTAGAAATATGATTGTAGTTCCCAATAAATTATCTATTCCATTCACACTTTGCTTGAAATAGTAGATAAAGGAATCAGAATTCACAGGATACAGATAGGAAACTTAATTTTCTTAGAGAAATCTTGGTTTTGATTTTGCAGTTTTCATGAGTGCTCCTGGAATTTGATACTCTATTCCAAACACCTTCATTTTATTTCAACTGCAGCAAAGCCTCCATGAAAGACTATGGAAATCTGCTAGGTGGCCCTCCTTGAGCAGGGGGATTGGACCGGATGACTTCCTGAAGTTCCCTCCAACCTCAACCAATCTGTGGTAATAGCATAATCTTTGTCCAGGGCAACTGCCATAAGATGACAGCATTTGCATGCTTGTCACAGATTCTACACAAGGCATGAACTGTACTTGTCGTATGTATAATTTGGTGACAAATAAATGCTTTTGCATGCAAGGTTTGAAAATCTAAATTTTCCCAAACCACCATTTAAAATTAACAGAAAATCCAGAGGATTTTGCAGGAACAGTAGGAGCCCTACTTCTGTAAGGTATGTCCCTTATACCTATGGTCTAAACAATCCAGTTATGACTAGATATATACCAGGATACTTCTACAACTGTTGGACCAAGAGAAGCTAGTTTCAATTAAGTTTACAAAAGACATTCTGGTGGTGAGAAAGTCTGGTATTGCCCAGCCCCCAACACAGCTGTTAAAAACCTTGTAGTGACAGCATGCAAGAGAGCTGTGTTCCCAGCAAATAGCTGCAACGTGAATTGCTACTCTCTACTCTGGGAAGAGCATAGAAAATGATAGGAAAAAATTGGGAAGTAGGTACTCACCCAACGAAGCAGCAATTATGTTACACAGTAAATGGCAAAGAAACAGACTCTTCAGCTTTAAGATCAGACAGTGCCTTCTCAAAGTGTCTGAGCCTTTAAAATGGGTAGTTATCACAGGAAAATTTAAGTCAGCTTACTATTAAGCAGCACTTGCACTTAGCAAAATAAAAGAGGGAACTAGACCTACTTACAGTAAAAAGCAGCACTGCAAAATTATGATAATGCTCCCTTATAGCTGGGACCAATAGATTTGTCTTCAGTATGAACATAGGCATGCAAAACCCAACAGTCTACCTGTTTGGTTAATGCCTATGCAAAATCACTGAGAGTACAATAATGTGGCATTTTTACACTTAAGAAAAATCAGAATGAAGACGTGTGGGTTGTGTTAATACATCTATTTAAATATAAATTTACATGCCCTCAGCTCACTTTGACCCTTTGGCCTTTCAGCAGTATTAGTGTTCAAGACCCTCAGGTCCAGGGATAGCAATCTACTGAGGTGTTTGTTTACATTTAATTTATCCTAAAATGCCTTTTCACATAACTAAACAAAGGATTTGCAGACAATCCTAGCATTCTTACCTCAACATCTTAATCCTGGTGAGAAAGTCACAGAAAAGCATGGGAGCACAGAACAGAACGTAGGCTTGTAGGGGGCTGGGTCGATCAGAATCCACACTGAGGCAAATTTGTCCTTTAAACACCATCGGCCTCCTCTTCAACACTGACATTACTGCCGCAGGCCTCTCTTACCTGGGAGAGGCTTGAAAACCGGGTCATCTTCTCACTCAAGCTTCTCTGCTGCTAACCAGCTCACGGCCACATGCCTGGGCTTTACACAACTACCACCGCCCACGCGAAGGCGTACGGAACGCGGGGGCTTGGGGGGCACCCGCACCGGAGCGGCCATCGCCCCTCCACTCACGCGCGCAGGCGGCCTCTAGCGCAGGTGCTCAGCAGTAGCCCCGCTGAGGCCGGCTTTGAGAAGCACAATCCCCAACGAATTAACGCGTCTGAAGTTGGAGAAAGCGGACAATTGCAAGCGGGCAGCCCTCAGCTGCCCTCCGCCTCGTCCGCCGACAGAGAACTCCGCGCGCAGGGGCCGCGAGCGCGCGGGCAGCGCCGCCCAAGCGCCAGGGGGCGCCGCCGCGCAGCCCGCCGCAGCGCCGCGCCTGCAGAGCGCTCGGGGCTGGGCGGAACCCGGGAACTGCCGCGCGGCCTCGCCGCGGGCCTTAGCGCCTGGGGCGGCGGGCGCAGGGACCCGTCGGCGCCCCTGCTCGGCCCCTGCTCTCCCGCCGCTCCCACGCGCTGCCCGCAGTGCAGGCAGCCAATGGGAGCGAGGGCCGCCCACCGTTCCTGCCCAGGGGCGCGTCCGCACGGCCGCGCGGGCTCCTGAGGCGGCGCGAGGCGAGCGGTGGCGGCGCGTCGCCCGCTCGGGCCGCGTTCTGGTTCTGGTTCTTGCCCGGGTTCTCGCCTGCCCCTTCGCCCGGAGCCCGCCCGCTGTCCAGCGCCGGGGCGATCGCACCACCGAGGGTGACGGGCGAGCCCCGGCCAGACGCGCCCCGCAGTCTGCGCTCGTACCCCGGCCCGCGGAGCCCCTCGCCGGGCGACCAGACCTTTGGGGTGGCGCTGCTGCCGCGACCCCCTGCGGCGTCAGCCGGTGCCCGGAGCCGGCGCACTGGGTGTCCTGAGCGCCAGGATGGAGAAGGTGAGGCGAAGCCGCCCGGCCGCGCTGGGAGGGTCTCTGCTGGGGTGGGGGAGGCCTCTCCCCTTTGCTGGGGTGGGGGCGTCTCTGCTGGGCGCCGCGGTCGGAGCTCAGCGCCCGGCCGGCCGCCCGCGTGTCGCGCTCGCGGAGGCGGGGGCGTTGCGTCGCGGAACCTTCGCGTGAAATCGGGGAGGTTGTGGGCGACTGGTTCTGACCGCGCACGCTGGAGGGCACAGAGACATGTTCTCTCGGGTAGTCGTTTACGTCAGGTTATTTTTATTAGAAAGTCGTTTCAAATCCAAGACAGAAAAGCTGCTAAAATGCCACTTTAGAACACACTGGGCTAAAGCGAATTCTGTTGATGTAAGCAACAGAGTAAGAGTGTGTGGGGCGGTTTCTCTCAAAGAAAGCTGCCGTAGAGGTAATTCTGCTACAGACTTTGCAGCATAAACCAATACGTCAGTTCTGTCCAGGGTCAGAATTTGTGCTATAGAAACAAATATAGAAGAAATATGTTATATTGGAATTGGTTTGTGTTTTGGAGAACCTAGGACTGGAGCACCAATAGAGAGGAAGGAGTAAGATTGAAAAGCTTTATTTATGTACATTTTCTATGAACAACATCTGATGCTGTTAATCAGTAGTCTCCAAAAGCTGTAAAATACAGCATTTGAAGGCTTAAGATAACTCAATTTCTTTTTCAATAGGTATGAAGTATACTTTGCTATAAAACCATCACTTTCAGTATGAAGAAAAGTGAAATATGAATCTTCATTGTAGGGATATTACAGGGCTGTGCTTCACCAGATCCTGTGCAATCTCTACAAGATACCAAAACTGACTGAGGTTTTCCTATAACAAATCAAGCTCCCACCGAAGGCAGTTACTTAGAAAAATTAGACAAGGGAAATGTGAATAATGATATTTAGAGATATCATAAGGGCATCAACAATTTACATCTGTATGATTTAGAACAATCTGTTTGACAGGAGAAGAAAATGTGTGTGATGTGCTTTTAGAATTACCGCCTGGAGGGATTTGATCTTTGATCCCTTTCTTCTGAAAGAGGTACAAGGGACAGGACTAAGTGGGTACTTCTGCTGGCTTATATGGCAGTTACTGTGTATCTGGTGCATACAGGCGTTGGAGTGTGTTAAGTAAATGAAAGCATGCAACTCTGGAGCATGAACTGTGTTTCAGGAAGTTTAGATACTAGTTTGGATTGAGTTACCGTTGAAAAGCTTTCTTATTGAAGACATATGGTGTAGTTGCTTGGAAATTATTTTGTACTGCAGACGAAGATGAAGGATTTTGCACTTTCAAGAGCTGAAAGAGCAGCAGCACAATAAACTGTAGGCCCTGTATGTCCAATTTCAGTAGCCGTAATCCTGCCTGTGATTCTGAGTGTTTAAAACGGGCTGCTCAAGCTAGTCAATGGAAATTGGAGTTGTTTAACTAGCTTTCATCTAAAAACAGGAAGGAATTCTTACAGCTTTGACAGGGAAAGAACAGCTGTACCTTCTGTCCTTTAATGAATTAAAAAAGACTTTCAGTTACAAAGATGCAGAGAAAACTGCCAATATATTATGCACCTCACAACAATAGATGACAGCATACAACAACAAAGGAGGCTATATTTCTGGATTCTGTTAAAGACTAGTAAATGCATAACATGTTGATTTCTAGCTTAAATTATACCAATAACTTAGAGAACTAAACCAGTAACTGGTATTATTCTGTTACTGATACACAGTGCAGTTATGCTCAGAAAAACAAATATAAAAAACACAAACCCAGAACACTATAGCAGAAAGTGAGGTTCTTACAGACTGAATTTATAGAAGGTTTCTTTGTACCACTCTTCCCTGTTTTCATAAGGCACTTAGATGTTTTTGTACTTCTGGGGGAGTGGTGGGGCTGGGGAAGCAACAGAAGTTTCTGCAAGCTGCCTTTTTATTCAGCGCATCTTGAAAGCAGGAGTAGGCATCTTCCAACTTACTCAAGAAACAGTAAACAAATAAAGAAGTAAATTGTGGTCCTATCATTACATTCCAGTGTTACGTATTTGAGGAATTAAAACCAACTATATGTAGATGTGTTTAAAATAAAAAAATACTATCATTACAAGGGGTAAATATAACAGAAGGAAATAGCTTTATTTGTAATTTCTATCCCTGTAGGGCAATAATCTTGGAACCCAAACCACTGACTTCCCTATTGTGTTATTTTTACTGTTTTTCCTGGAAAGCTGTCTTGCTCTGAATGGCAAAAATGGCACTATACACAGGTTTCTTCTCTCTGTCAGTATTACCTTGGTAGAAAACACCCTGGTTATATACTATCCCATTATCTGTTTAGAGCAGAACCAGTTGTAGGGACAGTCTCAGGTGTACCTGAGATCCATGAAAGTGCTTTGGCTATGTCAGTTGTCTGTTTACTTTCTTAGTTTCAGCTCGAGACCTTCATGGATTTGCTGCCAGTGTCATTCTCCCAGTTGAGCCTTTCTTAGGAGCAGACAGCAGACAGAGGCCCTATTTCCTGGTCTGATGCTTGCAGAATAAGGTCCCAGGCCCAACTTTTACATGGCATCCATAGCTAAGAGGCTGTGAACAGAGTGATACGAGCCTAACTCTTCTTTGGCATAAGGATATAATGTCTCCCTGTCAGCTGAGTACCTTAAGCTAGGTCCAGAAACTGCTCAGCTGGCAGTGCCTGCAGCATACCCAGCATTTAGTGCACAGCTGTTTCAGTGTCACAGTTTGCAGCTGAACAATTTGAAAAGAGAGATCTATGTAAAAGACAGCAAGATGTGCCAATTAAATCAGGCACATGGAACAGCAACACTATTTTCAACCCTGAAGTAACAGAAAAGTGACGGGAGTTGGGAAATGAGAGATAAATATCATGAGGGATGTGTATTTCACACAAACATGAGCACTAGAATGCACACGTTTTCTGAAATCCCGTTTCTTTCCATTGTGTTTCAGTGGAATAAAGACCCCGGAACTTGACTTGTAAATGCCTAAAGTCCTGTTGAACGTTATGGACCATTTCAAGGAGTTCTATAGTTTAGCTGAACTTTTCCCTATTGTGTATGGAACAACTGCATCAGAAATCTGAACTAGTGATCATCAGAGAGACAAAGCTGCTATGTGGATATTGTTATCAAAAAGATGTTCTCTGAAATGGTGAATAAGAATCTAGAGTAAGCCAAAAATTAAGAGATTCTGAGCCTTTGATGTAATTTATTTTCCCCTTCTGGGGAGAATCTTTCTCCCTTCTAGGCTGTTTTAAAAGGAACATTCTATTATGAATAAATATGACAAATAGAAAAATAAAAATATAGAAACAAACTATGTAAACGCAAGCTCTGAGGTATTTCAAGCACACAGTGTAATTTTTATACCTGACATGCAATCTAAAGGTGCCAGTAAGAAAATTTACTTTATGGCTCTGTAACAATGTCCCATCTTTCTTTCCTGACTTACACCTGCAAGAAAGGGTGAGAGGTTGAGGTAAGAGCCCCATGGAAGCTGTGATAGTCACAGAAGCAGAATCAGAGGGTATTAAAGTGCTGCGTGTCTTTCCCTGACCATTTTCACTCTTCGGTTGGCTTCCACAGGCCAGTTAGATTCTACAGCGTATCTGACAAAGTGGCTGCTTTTCTGGATATAGGCTCCACTCCTGCACCAGCATATATACCATATAGAGTCTTGCAGGATAAAGGGACTTCTGAATAAGAATTTTAGTGCCCCCTTTATCTCTTCGTTTTTTTGTGTGCGTGTCTCAGGCTAGCTTGGGAAGCTCAAGCACACTTTGCGCTACAATTGCTCTCAAATGACTTGCATTATCTTGTCAGCTTCCTACCACCTTCCCCCTCTTCCTTTACCCTGGATCTCCTTGGACATGTTTCCTCCCCCAGAGCTTTCTGCATTTGCATGAAGGGTCCAGTCCCCCCCCAAAAATAAAAATCCAGTTTCTGCATGACGGTGAAGTCAATGGGTCTACTCATATGACTTCAAGTTTGCTAAAGCAGGCCCGTAGGCATTACGTTTTTCTTTTTAAATAAAGTCCAATTTTATTAATTCTAGTCTGTTTGAGCTTTGGAAAGAACTGTTACAAAAAGGATCACAGGTCTTATTTTTTAAAATGGCATTTGTTCCTCTGCTAATTCTTGGCAAACAGGGGCTCAATATGAAAGGGCTTCAAGCACTGTATGCCTAGGGGTGTGTGTACACTCTTGCATAGTGAGACTCTCGAAGAATATGCATGCAAACATGCACACACAACATATTCCATTTGCACATACTTACCTAAACAATGTACTGCATATACAGGTACCTGCTCATGTGCATATATAATTGTACAGAGAGATATACATGTGCTTACACGATATCTGTAGATGTGTAAACTCTTAATTGCACATATACAAACATTAAAAATCAAATTAGTCTTAGATGCACCTTTGCTTCTCTAATTAAAAAGGACATTTAAAAACCCTTTTTGTTCACTTCGGTTTTACTGTAACCAATACAATTCACCTGCTCACCTAATGGGATTTTTTCCTCTCAGTATGTTAAAACACTAATTAAAATGCATTACAATTATTAAATTGGGTAGAAGAGCACTTCTTGTAAAGCTTAGTCTGGAACTCCTGGGACATAGTTGTGCAGTGAAAGTTTTAGATCATGTCTCTTGTGTTACGGATCGCACAGCACAGAACCATGCTGAATATCATGCCAAAGATCTAGAAGAGAAGGGATGCAATTAAGGGATGCAATTTAGGGGTCCACTTACAAAACAGCTATAAAGTAGTCTGCATATCAGAACAATGTGAAGGCTCTTAGGGCAGAGTAGCAAGTAACTGCTTCCGTCTACAAACCCCAAGACATTAGACAATTAGCATAAAAGATTTCACTGATACTCAAAGCCAAGATTTTATCTGCTTACACTAGTTTCACTATTCTTGGTTCTAAATGTTAAGGCCAGCATAATAGCCCCAAACATTAACATAAATTTCCCTGACATCAATAACTGTGACTATTGGTATTATGCCTAATACTGCACCAAAAGGTTCCGAGTTGCAGAATGCTTCTACATGGAATATTGTATACGCATTTGAGTAAGAGCAGAGAATGATTCCAGAGGAACCAGGTCTCTGGAACTGGTGCTAAGCATTGCGGTTTTATGGAGAAAGCTAAGCTCTTGACAGTTACTACTCAAGACCAAGACTATACGTTAAATATAAACCTCTATTCATGTTAGGGAACTAGTTAGCCGGGGGGCATGTTAAAAGCAGAGAACAGTGGGCGTTGCCTGAATCTCCAGAAATGTATTTTTTGCCACAGGTTGATTCTCCAAAGCTGCTATCTCATGAGGCTTCATTGCTAATGATGGGAGATAAGCAGTACTATCAGGCAGTTAAACCACTGAGTTCATATCCTCTCCACACATACCTCTCTAGGAAGGAGGAGACAGCTGACCAGTCATACCCCATGAAGTGTCAGAAACAAGCACAGAAATATGTACAGACATATTTCTGCTGCTGAAGAGGTAATTTCATAACTTCTGATGTATCTGAGGTGGGATGCCATAGAAGAGAAGTTCATATTTCTAGTGTATCCTTGTTGCGCAATGAGATTATTGAAACTCTGTCCCACCCATGTTGCTTTGCTGTATTTTTTTAGTACACCTTCATGTTTTATACAAACCACAGGATTGTTTAATTCTCTTTACCCACACCACAGTTTCTATCACGTACATAAACCCTTCATCGGCTTTTAAGTGTCCACAGTAAGTCCATGAACCTCCTGCTCTTCAGAACAGCTAAAGGTGTATGTATTTACTAATATTCTGGCTCCTCATGCTGCTTCTGACTGCTGCTGGTTTTTGAGTCTGAAGGAAGTCATGTCACGTGCTGAAAAATGCTTTCTGTCAAAGCCCGTGTTTGATACAGACTTCCCATTCCTGCCATATCCTTGCAGCAGGGTGACATCTATTGGTCACAGCTCGGTCATGAAGGAGCAGACCTTGGGAGTACAACAATGCACACTTGTGGGAGAAGGTGGACTATAAGCAAAGTTAGTGAGGCTTTGATGATACAGTTCGATGAAACAGCTACCTGCAACTAGGTGCTATGCGTTTAGGAAACAAAAGCTGTTCTGAAAACTATGCAGTTTAAAGCCTAATCCTTTAACAAAATACATACTGACCACTGGATCTGTGACCTAGAAAATCTGTTTATAAACTATTCTTCACACTGAAGAAATGCTACAGCCAGCATTATTCTGGAAAGCTTTTTCTATAGAAAGGGTAGGTACTCTCTATTCTTTATGAAATCTAATGAATGGATATTCAAAGGGCCTAAAGCATCAGTCTGCAGTTGTTTTGGAATAGATGAAATGCTGCTATGGTCTTTTGCTTTTCACTTTGGTCCACATGCACTCTGCCTTCGTGCTATTACAACAAAATAAGATTACCATTAGATACTTCAGACCCTGTCTGAGGACACAAAATGAACTGGTAAAACAAAGTCATGCAAGTCTGCTTGCACTGATGTGGGCTATTCCCAGAGAGAAGACACACCAGAAGTGGTAAGAACAGCTGCACCTTTGAGGAATCTCACCAGTTGCTGCAAAACACCTTCCACAAAGCTTTGAGTAAGGGACAGGATACTGGGCTCAAATACAGATTTGAGAGTGAGAACACGGATTTACTCACTGTGATGCCAGCAATTGCAATTCCAACAATTCCAACTAAATGCAGATTAGCATCAATTACATTCTGGATTTCAACCAGGCAGTTCTATTAAAAACAAAATTGGAAGATTTTTACTCCTAGAAAAATATACTGCAATCAACTCTGTCAGTTGTTCTCACCAAACAAAAGGCCAACATGAAAAATATTATTGTAGTCACTGTCCTGATTCTTGCATCTATGCCTTGTGTTTTGTTTGACAATTTTCACAGCATATTTCTTTTTTTAGTGAGACATCTATGCCTCTTCCCTGTACAGGCTGACACATACAAGCCATTTTTTTACAATCAGTTTTACCTAAATTTAAAACCCTTTATGTTAGGCAATGCTAAAGTTGTAACTGGCCCTTCATATTGACACTGTACTCACAAGCAGATTCCACAAAAGATAGAAGTAACAGTATCCTTAGCACCAGTGAAGTTTCTAGTCAGGAGTCTCCATGCGTGATTAAGGCAGGCACTTGCCAAAATTCAGCCTTCACAGGGCTTTTCATTTAGGACTCCTGTTCTGGTGCATTCTTTACATTTTTCAGATGATGTAATATTGTCTCAGCTACCATGGGATGCTACAAGCAGGCTTCAGAGATGAGGGCTAGGCATGTTCAATATGACCTATAACTTATTTCTGCCTCGACTCTGCTCCATTTCATATGGAATTTCATGATAGAATTTTCAAGGTAAAAAGCAAGTTCTTTCTTTTACTTATAGAATGTCTCCTGTTTTACTAAACACTTGACATGAAAAAGTGACTAGAACAGCCAGAACAGAGGACACTTGCCTTTGGCATTTGGATATTCTCTGGACAGGGTAATCCCATTTGTTGTTCCATATTATCTTTACCACAGCATTGGAGCTAAATGAGAGAGAGAGATGAAGAATCAAAGAAGGGGAAACCAAAGACTTGTTTCACACTGAAAGTGAGATAATAAATAAATAAATAACTATACAGATCAAGTGATAAATTGATTCCTTATATTAACTGCTAGCTCAGGTAGAGTTCCAACCGTGTAGGCCAAAATACTCAAAAATCAGTTTCAATTGTCTGAAGCCATAGCAAACAGACAAATTTGTATCAACAACAACTTCCAGAAGGTATTTTTATCACAGTATCTCATAACAAAGTAAACAAGTGAATTTTGGAAAAGCAGATCCCTGGATTACAAGGAAAGAGGAGTTGTTAAAGGGAGAAAGCAGAAAGCTCAAACAGCACGTACAGAGTTATGGGCAATGCACAAAAGCTGCAACAGAGAATGCTAGAATCTTTATTTTTGACAAAACATAGTACTGGGTTTGGAGACAGTAGTAAATCAGAGCCTACAGAGGGCTTGTTTTTCCTGTTTGCCTATCTCCCACAAAATGCTTGGAATTCTTCTTTGGGTCAGAAATAACAGCTATGGGAGAAGGACAAAAGGGTCTGAGGTTGTGAAATGTTTGTTTGAAAGAACGTGGGAATGCTGTAACGAGCAACAAAGCTTGGGCTTAATCTCTGTGGGAGGCAGTATGGATACAGGATGGACACAACAGAATTCAAGAAATCACAGGTCCTAGTTCTGATTCCGACACTAACTTTTTGGGTGGCCTGAACTGAGTCACACACGTGCTTTTGTTTATTTACCTACTTCGTTCAGTCAATGACCAGACCTGCCACATGGTAGGTCCTGAGATGGGTCACAGTTGTTTCTCTGACAATTGCAGAGAGATTCAGACCTTTCTACCTCTCTCTGCATTTGTGAGTATTTATTAATGGACTTTAATATCCAAAAGGGCCATAATAGTCATATCTTCTGCACAACAAAGACCAGAAGCATCAGCTGAAATTTAAAAGTGTGGTCATTTTCACTTTCAAAGGTAGGGATCACTGGGGATCTGAAAACCAGAATTCTGACAGAGCCATCAGGAAAACAGGTTGTGAGCCTCTGGCTCTATTTTAATTAACACTCAGTTCTGTCCTTTCATACCTCAGTGGGAGGCATTCTGAATTTTAAAAGGTGATGTGACAGTATAGTAGTAGTGCAAGGTATTAAAGTTCAGGAGGACTACTCACAGCTAAGTGGTAGTGATAGATAGTCCTGTTGACCTTCCCCCCAGGGTTTTTCATATAGTCATCATAAATGTCTTCATAGATTTTCTGGGCTTCCTGTATTGCCTGCAGAAATCAGACTTTCCAAATGAGTGGCAAGTAAGTCTTACCCTCAATCCAGTGCAGACTTCCAGTTTGTGTCATCAACTTCCAGAGCAGAAAATTATGCCTGGTAAACTGAGGTATCATGACTGGAAAGATAGGAGATTTTGTGGCTTGATGGCATTCAGAGGGACTCTGCATGGGTCAGAATGTACATATGCTGCATTCTGTGTTTTGGTTATACACTGTTACTTGAAGTTCAGTGCTTGAATTTGTTTTCCCTTTTCCCAAGCAATACCCCCTGATTATATAGTTCTACTTGATGTTCTTTGTGGTTGAACCACACCTACAGTTTTTCTTTAATTGAAGGGAGCAAAAGCTACATCCCATTCTGGACTTGTAATAACATAAGCTGTCATTACCTCTAGATAAGAATGTCAGAGACTTTTCCTGAGAAATGTTTCCTGGGAAGTTTTCCTATGCAAGAGCCAGACTGTAGGTCAGTTGGCATTGGAATCCATAACTGCCCTATCACTATATTAGAAGTTGCTTGCTACTTACCACTTTCTTGCCTATAAAGGCAAATACTCCAGCAGTGACCTCAGCTGCAAATATCACCAACAAGCAAGCAAAGAACTGCAGAGGAAGAGGAGAATCTTATATTAATACACCTTGCACAATTCTGCTTTATATGGACCGCCAGTCAGTCCCTTGTCCTTGCCCAGGCCTTAACAGTCCACACAGTAACTGAAAGAAAGCTGGTAAGCAAGGTCCATAACAAGGGTGTCAAGTCAGATTTCTTGTAATATGGAAACAAAGGTGGAAATGGTAAAGATGTAGCTCAGATGGTAGCTTCAGAAAAGTCAGAAGGTAATTCCAGGAAATATATCACATGAGGCAAGCAATGGAACTTCTTCATGTATGGAAGCTCTGCAATAGCACGGTGGCTAGAGATGCCCGATTAGCCAGTAAAAGGACGTAGGACATTTCAGGCCTTGAACAGTAAAGATCTTCCCACTAACGACACAAAATATATGCTTTTGAATGATTTTCCTGTGCAGCCCAGGCCCTTGAAACCTTTTACTTACTGCTCCAAGTAAGCACTGAGACTCCCGCGCTGCTCCACAGCACCCAAAAAATCCAACTGTGGTCATGAGAGCCCCTGCTCCCACCAATACATAGAGTCCTATGAAAAATCAGAATCAGAGAAGAATTTAAGGTTTTTCTTCCTGAAGTCTGCTACCTATATTGTCAAAACCACACATTTTTAAGTAACAGTGGTCTCTGGCTCTCATAAAGAACACCTGTTGCACAGAAAAGTTTCTCTTGCCACAAAAGGAGACCAATGATGTCTTCAGAATTCTTGGAGAACCTCATGAAGACAAATAAGATGACTTCCATCTCCCAAGTTTCTTGTCCCAAGGGCAGCTCAGTCCAGAAAGAACATATACCATACCATCTGGAACCACCTTACAATTCTTCAGTGAGGAATGTAAAGCAAAAAAAAAAATCCAACATTGATCGAGGGCTGATTTCTGTGAAACCTGGGGCTGAAATGTGCTGTACTGCTATGTAGGGATGGGACTTATGAAAGCTATCTGGCAGCTATGCTCTATCAGTTGTCTGGCAGTACATGAAAAAGGACATTTGAAGATCTTCAGGAAGGGTATGGGTGCTATAGTGTGATGTTCCTCTGAAAACAGTGCATTGGCTGGGGAAGAAGCTGACTGCTATTGGAAAGAGGATGATTGAGGGAACTCCTTGTAAATTGTTGGAGGAAGTAAATGAAACAGCGAATTTGTACCCTCTGCCAAAATAATGAGTGGGAAGAACAGCCTGCGGAAGGTCATAAGCTCAGCAATAGTCCTGAGCTTGGACACTGCAGAGAATTGAAGCCTGTGTACAGTTCAGTGATTTGGAGCATAGCATCTTTCCTTTATGGTAAATAGCTGCTTTATACCCTCCTGGGCAGGCATATTCCAGCATCATTACTTTACATTTTTTTTCCTCCAAGATATTGATGTGTCAGAATATGAGATACCAGCAGCTTTTAAAGGCTAATGTTATCAGTACGTTATGATCAGAAGACTTGGAGAAGAGTCTCCTGAAAATGGATAGAATCACAGAACCAAATCACATCAGATATTAAAAAAGGTGATTCTGTATAAAAGGAGCGGACTGTCTAAGACTTAGAGGCCAAAATCCTTGCATGCATGGCCTACAAACAGCATCTCATGATGTATGCTGCCCTCATCTGAACTGCAGAATACCCTCCCACCACCTTATTTCAGTAGGCAGAATCAGTGGCATTGCAGCAGTCGGTGGCAACGCTGCACTGCCTTCATGTTCTGGACATTCGCAGGTAATTGTTCTGCAGCTTAGGGGACTGCTCAGACACCCTAGCCAACTTCTTCCTGGTAGTGCCTTCCTGAATGGACTTAAGGCTACTGGCATACTGTGTGTAGACAAATTTAACGGCATAAACAAAGAACAGCAAATAGTGAATCATTAGGTTAAGATTAAACACATTAAGAGGATAATGTAGCAATCTGGGGATGAGGCTACCAGCAAAGACCCGGCCTCAGACAAGTATGGAACATGGGAGATGTCAGTATAGCTGCATACATAGTTAAAGATTTAGGACCCTAGCTATGTTCAGAACTTGACAGGACAAACGCTGTACAGGTGAGGGGAATAGCATTCATCTCTGCCACCTGTAAAACTGCTAGAAATACTCACATTCACCTGGTTTTGGTTTTGTTGTTTTTTTTTTTTTTTTTTTTTTTGTATGGGCTTTATGTAGGACAAAAGGAAATGGGAGCACAGAATTTTTCTTTCCTCACTTGTAAATTTACATGCTTGATCTGTGCTTACGCAATACATCCTTTCATGTGTGGTGTCAGTTCCCATCAGACCACAACAACTGTGTTTGTGCATTGCCTCTGGGTACCATGTCAGCCAAAGTACAATAGGCTCAGTGCAGTGCCTTGTAATTCTGTTCTTTGTCTTTTGTGGGCAACGTGGAGGACAGGCAGAAATATGCCATGCCAGCCCACTGCTAGAAAAAGCAGTTTAATTTCCCTCATGCCATTATGATGGGACAGTGGAGCTACAAGCTGCGCACACTAGAGGGAGCAGTAAGCCTTGCTCCCAGCTTTCACTTTTAATGAGAACGTTTAGTATTCTCAATTACCAATTTAAGCATTATTTTAAAGTCTGACCAAATCTTGAGGGTTAACAGAGCTGCTGGCATTTACTGTTAGCAGGCTTTCTGTAACCTGGACTACGAAGCTCTACAAATGACAGTTTGCAATGATTGCTAGGAAAATTAAACAAACAATCAGTATATGGGTGCATCTAGCTACTCTGTCACATGGATGCAGTCTGCTTGGAGAAGGCAAACTCCTTCCTGCTGTCCAGTCATTTGGCACATCACTGTCCAGTCACTGTATATCAACCAGGTATCTATCTCTGCTATTACAATCATTTTCCTCCCTTCCATTCTTCTTGCCCTGGTACCTACCTTGTGCCAAGGATTGATGCTAAGGAACACATTCTGCTAAATAGCAATAAACTGATTATAATTAATGTATCTTTGTCAGGTCTGTGATGCCAGATATGTGGGATTTGCTGCTGACCATGCTGGCAGTTCACATTCTGTGTTTTCTAGATTTTTAATATTCAGCATCTTGTGACTTACTAGGACTGAGCATTCTTCAAGCTGATGCTTGTACACATATTCACAACACAGTGGTTTTTACTGAGGTAGGGATATACAAAGATATGTATGGCTCAGGAGAGAAAGGTCAGCCCCTTGTGAAAGATGAATTGGAAAAGACAAATAACTCCTCTCAGGTGCAGAACCTGCTGCTCAACTGCCAAAAGCCAAAACTGCCATTTCCTGACATCCCCATGGTAACAAACAGAGTGTAATTACAAAGATGTTTCCTGGAGCCTTTTCTGCATGTCACTCCCTACTCCAGCCCCTGTAATTACTTATCAGGCAACTTAGCAGAGAGACTTTTTGATTAAGAAGACTGGAAAGAAGTCTTCCTATTTCTTTTTGTCACTTCCAGCCCACAAGAGACAATGATCTCTGAGGCTCAGGGGTGAGACCACTGTCAGGAATTTGGAGTTGCTTTTGTCTGAGAAACAGACTTAACATTTTACTTGCATGACTCACAGCTAAACCGCTACCTCAATCAGAACTTCCCTTTTAAGGCGTGTTACAGGAAGAACTCACACCACTCGCTAAACAAAGCTGAGCTTGCTCTGTGTCTGGCCCCACAGCTGAGCCAGCCAGGAGTTTAAAACCACCTTCTTCCATCTTCTCTTCAGGAGAGTTCATTCCACACTTTGTCCTTTCTCAGCCTGGGACTAGTAGTTGCCGATACTCAGGGAGCTATTTCTAGACGGAAAATAATGATGACAATTAAAAAATTTCTACAAAACTAAAGATGTTTTTACTTGTCTACTATATATACACCCATGTTGTCTTTCACCCAGTAAAGAGACGCTTGAAGAGTAGCTTGAAAAAAATTCAAAGGGACCAGGTTACTTCCCAGCCTGCACTGTGAGGTTTCCTAGCTCCCCACATCCAGGTGTGCTCCACTGGAAGATATTTCCAGGAAGGGTATCAAAGAAATAGATTCAGAAACATCCTAGACGGTGTAAGTATTTAAGACAGGGAGCTAGTATTTTTTTTCCTAGTGGGCTATATGCAGCATTTTAGGCATGATCACCACAAATTCCTAATAAGAATAGACCTGAACTGAAAACCAAGATTCTCGAAAGGAAAGAAAAAGAAAAGGTTGACAATGCATGGCATCCCTCAGAATCACAGCCTTACCTAGAAACATCATGCACTGATAGCCATCAAGTTAGCCTAGTTAGGATGAGCAAAGCAGACAAATCCAGAAATTTGGTGGTGTTAATGTCATACATTGCTGTGCAATAGTATGTCAGAAGTAACGTAAGTTTTGCTAAAGCCCCTTTCTTTCAAAAAAGCAGGATGGAAAGCAAAGCTTTAATCGGCTTCTCTTCATAAAGGCTTCCATTGTAAAATACAAAGACTTGGCATAGCCTCCAATTTGGCACATACAGTGCAGCAGAGAAACAAAAAAGACACTTATAGTCCCAAAATGAAACACATTTGATAGTTAGAAACTCTGACACAAAAAAGTTCACCACAAACCTCAGTATGGCAAAAAGAAGTGTGCAACTCAGGTCAAGGTAGAACGCTTGTTTTGGTGAGTAAAAAATTTTGAGAAAACTGACTAGCTGCAGCTTTTTGTGCAGCACAAGTAAAAAAGTGCAAGGTAAAAAGGAAGTAAATGTTTGTGGCCTGTGTGAAATTTTCCTCTTCTTCTTGCCTCTGTTCATTTCCTGATTCCTAATTTTCTCACTTTGATCTGTGTCTGCTAATGAAGAGGAGAGAGAGTCTGATGACTAACTAGTCTCTGAATTCATTGGCAGCAGACAACAGATGAAGAGAGAATACCGAGAACAGGCACACTGCTATGGCATTACGGAGGGCAAACACTGGGCTTAATGGCAGAAACCTGCCTTCTATGTGACCACTCACAGCTCAGGGATATTTACTGCACCTTCATGCAGGACCCACAAATGAAGGAACTCTCAGTCCCTGAATGCAAAGGGATTAAGAGGCACATTCCAAAGAATTAAAAGCCATGTGCAAAACACAACAGAGAATTGCTTGACCTGAGGAGATATATCCAGGACACTGACGACTACGAGGTCGACTGGAGCAAATATGGGCTTCTTTGTAAACACAAGAGGATGAAAAATGAAGTGTCATAGGACTGGGGTTTTTTGGACAGAGCCTATTCTCTTCACCTTTTTTTGTGGGGAAATATTCAGGTTTTGGGGTGATAATTTGCTTTTTTTGTTTTAGCTGTGCTAAAACACCCCCCCACACAAACACAAGAGATTTTTATAAGCTGTGAAGAGAAACTAATACTTCTACTTTGAGTAGCAGTAAGTCAAGTGAGAGAACACCTAATTACAAATTGATTTCCCTTCTGGCTGAAAAATAGAGGGTGTAAGGGTGGGGAAGCCCATACTTCAGCCATTGTTTCATTCTTCAAAGAACAAATTTGGAAACCAGTAAAGCATCAGATTTTTTATGTACTTGATTTTTTGATTCATCCCATGGGGAAAATCATT